CTGTCCCGGATGGTGTTACAGAGCTGGGGCAAACGTCTGATTCGTCACCTGTGTGGCTGCAGCTGAACAGGGTTGCTGGGTTTGCCTTTTCAATGAGACACACGCATGAGTTGAATCAAAAATTGAGACAGGAGGAGGGAGAAGCCGCTGCTGGGGCCGATGGCTGCTGATTTTTTCCATGTGAGGGGGTAACCTTTGGTAACCCTGGCCCCATGTCATGTGACAGGGCCAGGAAATAAACCCTGGGCTCTTACCAGCACTCCTGTGTGTTACACCTTTATTGCAGTGATGACAGGTTGATGGCTACACTGAAAGGTTCTTTTCCTTCGGGGAGTCCTGTCCAATGTTCAGCTTTATCCATCCATAAATGCTGTCTAAGTAGTGTAGGGTCCCTGGGAAAAGTTCCCACTCCCCCTCCGACCCCCCCAGCTAAATACTGTGGCTAGGAAAGGGGCCCCTCACCTGCCTGTCAGAAGCCACTAACTCACTGTCACCATGGCCAGCTTTCTCCCCCATGGAAATGGAGAGAAATTCCCTCCATGGAAGCCTTTCAGAAGGATCCTCCTTCTCTCCCTCCCTTTCCCATCCCATCTCATCTTATCCCGACCCAGCATACTAAAACACCAGTCAATCCCTGTGTGATTTTCTTGGATCTCAGGAGAGAATATGGCAAAGATGCTCTCACTTTAGATAAATCCTCTGTCAGACTGGAGAATACTGTAGCAGTTCCTCTCCATAAAGTTTCATTCCTCTGTTTTTCTTTCTGACAATGACATTATTGAGGGCTCTTGATACGCTCTAGGATTGCTATAAATGCAGAGCTGCTGTGGGGGTATTGGAAAAAAAAAAAGAAATCAGGAGTTAACCGAAGAAATAAATGGACTAGGAAGGATGCTAATCACAATTTGTGAGCTCAAAATTTTTTGAATGCTATTATTCTTTCTTTTATTCCACCCTTCATACCCCCTAGCTCTCTTTTAATTACCACTCGTGGGAAAGGTAAGCTGACCGGTTTAATAATTCTCAGCACCACAACAAGTGGTAGGAACGAGTTTAAACTGGAGATCCTAAAAGCTTTCTCTTTGCATAAGACGAATTTATAGCTTGGAAACTAAATATTTGTTCAAAGAACTTTTGGAGGTGTTTGAGCACACAGGGGAGATGAAATGGCAGATTAAATATTTCATTTACATGCGATATGCATGGCATTAAGTCCTATCTTAATTCTTCACCTGTTTTCTGAAATCCTTTGACAAACACAGGACGGTTCACCTCGCCATTGTTATTTTGAGTGGCTTTCAGGCTCATTTAATTATTTCGTGTTCCTATGTGGAAGTACCCTGGGAGGGGAGCGGACTCTGGTCCCTAAGGGCAGCTCCCCAGGCTGCAGGCGGGTTGATTCCTTCTTTAGCAGACATTTCCAGCGCTGCTGCTGAATAAGGATGGGGCTTAGCCCAGGAAATCAGATCTGGCTCTAGTGGGCACGCAGATGCTCTGGGGATGAGCTCCATAGGAATGGCTATAAATAAAACAAACAAGCAAACAAACAAGCAAATGGCTCTTCCCACCAAAGGAACTAGATGAAACTTCTCCAGTGGCAACAGGGTCCGGCGATTTTGGGGCTTCTAGTTGTTCAATGCAGGGTTTACTTCTGCACTGTAAGCCATACGACGCAGACTTTATCAGAGACATTTCCACGTCCGGGGGCTTCTTTTTTTTTTTTTTTTTTTTTTTTTTTTTTTTTTTTTTTTTTTTTTTTTTTTTTTTTTTTTTTTTTTTTTTTTTTTTTTTTTTTTTTTCTGGTGACTCGTTGAGCTGCCATGAAACCGTGATCTACAGCTTACTCGACCAAAGCTTTTCCGTGCTGTAATTCCTACAAACCGACCCATCTTGCTGTGCATAAATCTGAAAGTCTGGTCTGCACAACTGCGTGGCAGAGCTCTCTCCTGCACACACACTGTGCACACACACACACTCTCTGCTCTTTCTGCTAAGTAGAGGAACTATAGAAGAGGAGAGAGCGCTTCTGTGCGGCCAGTGATCTGTTAATCTCCTGCAGTCTGCGTCTGAAAGAAATACACTTATTTAGCCATAAGTTCAGGGGACGATTCCGGGGTAGAAAGTACATGTAAACTTGCAAATTTGTACTCTGTCCATAGTTTATTAGAACAAAAGGTATTCCTTCCTTGTACTTCTAATAGAGAAGATTAAAACAGTACCAAATGTGAGCATTAGTGACTTTGGAAAGGGGTTTTATTCTTTATGCCCTAAATGCCTAAACTTAATATTTTGAGGTGGCATACAAGCTGTGATCATAAAACGAGTTTTACTGGGAAGCCATGTTTACTTCTTGTTTATCAGACTTATTTTAATTCATTCTGGGTAGGTTCCAACCACTGTGTTAGAGATTAAAGGCAACTGTGCTCCCCAATTAGCAGCCAGCCCTTTCTAAGTAAAAATATTTCTGAGGGGCGAGATGAAAGTGGAATAATTTCTGTTCATTAACAGTAGAGAGCTGGGGTGGGTTATTTTTCACTAAGGGGCTCTACCTTGATTTTGAGCCTCTCAAGATTTAAAACGAGTGACCACGTAAAAGTGAAACCCAGTGCAAAAATACCCCTCCAGGAATGGCTTTCGAGAGAGCACACGAGCTCTGCAGTAAAAAGCACACCGACTAGTAAAACGTCGGGACTGTGCAGGACTCCAAGCTCTCCGGCAGAAAATCTAGCTCTGGGGCACTAATCTCTCCGTCTTTCATGCAAAACTTTTCAACTGAAGCCGCGGTGGAGGCCATAAAAACTTTTGCCTCCCTTTAACCAAGGCAGCAGAAAATTCACGCTGTTCTAGGGGGACAGTCCGCTGCGGGGCTGAAAAGATCACATTCAAACGGGACTTCACCAGCTCTTTCCGAATATGACTCCTCTGTGCGAGGGTAAATCTCGCCTTGTGCACGCAGTAAGCGAGAGGAGGCTTTCCCTTCGGAGTAATAGGGAGTTTATCAACTAAAAATTGAGCAAATAAATCTCGGACGGTGTTTCAGGAGCGCATTTTATACCTGGATGACTTGTTTTAATTTTCAAGCTTTCACAGAGGCCTATAAATCTTACTTTGCACCCGCTTAACCTTCTGAAAAAAAAAAAAAAAAGGGAATAAAGGAAAAAAAAAAAAAAAAAAAGAAAAAAAAAAAAAGAAAAAGGGAAAAAAAAAAAAAAAAAAAGGAAAAAAAAGAGAGAGAAAAAAAGCAGGGTGTTTCCTCCTCGAACAGCCGGGTGTTCCCAGCTCTCCCAGCCCCGACACGGCGGCGATGGGCCGGGCAGACCCCCACGCTGCTGCCCGTGGGTGCTGCCGGGCGCGGCGCGGTGCCCACGGGCTTACCCCCCACTCGTGGTCTCGCTTGCCAGAGGGCTGTTAGCCCAGCTCCGGGCCTTGGCAGCCCTGTCCCCCCTCCGCCACCCCGGGGTAGATCTCCGGCGCCTCCTATTAACTTTCTAATGAGCAGAGAGAGCCAGGGAAGGCGAGTCACCCACCCGGGCTAAACCCCCCCAGGATCCTGACGGGAACCCCGATGACTGATTTATTTACCGTCATTGTTTTACTAGACAATGCTCGCTTCCCGAGAAACTTCGGGCGTCTCGGCTGCATATTGTTTGGAAATATCTTTGAAAAATCCCCCCATCTGCCCCGCGTTTCGGCCAATGGTAACACCTCTTTGATTGGAAGGAGAGAAAGCTTAGATCCTGCCTTTTATTGAAACCAGCGAAGGACCTTGGGAGGAGGGGG